ACTAATTGTTTCCATGAATTTTGGTTTTCTTCATTCTTCTTTGCTCTGGATAAGGAGAGACCCATCATTGCATCTAGATGGTAGCTTGCTAGCTTTTAAGATCCCAGTCGCTACTTGCCAAAGTAGGAAGTGGAACAGTGTTTTGTATAGTATGTTATGCCAATTGAGCTTGATGTTCCCTGCGACTATGGTCCTAAGCCCACAGGTTCAACTACTCGGTCCCTCTTGGTAGCTGGCTGTGACCAAGCTGTGACCACAACCTTGCCCCTTATCAGCTGTACTATATACCTGGGAATTCTGATCATTCACATAAACTTATAGGACCATTGTGGCGGTCATATTCTTGTTGTTGTTAGGTGCTGTCAAGTCGTTTCTGTCTCTTAGCGACCCCATACACAGCAGAATGAAACACTGCCCGATCGTATTCTTATGATCATATTCTTAAGAGCTCTTTATCTTTGTTTCTTTTTTTAATAGCATCCCATTCTTGTTTCATTGCTGGATTAATTTCTGTTACCTGAGGACATAGTACTTTTGAAGTTTTCTCTGTTCCTTGATGTGTCTCCTTTTCTACCAGGTTCCTTTTCCCATTTGTTTTGATCTTTGACTTTCATGTTGGAAGCTTTTATTCTGTACCTGGTGAATATTTAAGAGTAAGTCATTGAAAGCTGATTGTAAGCTCTGTGCGAATGGTTGGGCCTTGTGAACAGATGGATTTCACTTTAAGGAGATTGGGTGGAAACCTGGTGGTCTTTTTAGGGGGACTTCCCAAACATCAGTATTGGAGGGTCTTTTCTCTGGGTGGGGGAGAAAATTAACAGTCCAAATGTCTTTGTGCAGATGTTCACCCAGTTCCCTGTGTTCATTCTTGTCCTCTGTGGTGCCTGATACTGCCAATTCCTGAGCTTTTTTGCGGTTCTGCAGAATAAAGTGGTTTGCTTCTCATGAGGTTCCTCTCTTCCTGCACTTGGTATTCAGCTCTCTTGAATTCTGACTCTTCCATCTACTTTCTACCTTCCAAAAATATGTTGTTGCCTCTTGGCCACTGTTGTCTATTCTCCATTCTCTTTGTCCTTGGAGTTTTTCTCTCTTTCCTTGCCTTTCTTAATTTCTTTTCTCTTACTTAGTAGTATTTCAGGTGGGAGCATGAATAAACATGTGTTCACTTTGCCATGTTTACCTAGAAGACCAACTCCAGAATCACTGTCACTAGGCCAAGTATTCCTCATTCCTTTTATCACTCCCTGTACAGCAGAGATTTGCCACCTTCTGCCATGCCACCAAATGTCCTTGACTACTTTAGTTGCCTCTTTCTGGATGCCCTCCAGCTTCAGAACACTATCTTTGCTGTTCAAAGTGTGAGAGAATTGTGATTTTGTATAATGACTATATTTTCCCTTCTGATATAATGCCCTCTGATAAAAGCCAATGCTTTGGTTATGACGGTACATCGAACTAGAAATCCAGTCCCATTAGGGTTCTTCAAAGGGCATTAGCTGGGGCATTAACATCCCCCTCCCTTGTCCTTCTCTCTCACCGTTCTTTGTCCTCACAGGCAGAGGATCTGGTAAGGAAGAAATCTTGGACCGCCGCTGAGACGAGCAGCAGGAAATGCCAACAAGCTCTGGCAGAACTGGAGAGTGTCTTCAGCCATCTGGAGAGCCTCTTTGCCCGGACACTAGTACCACGAGTGCTGATACTCCTTGGGGGCAGTGCTGTAAGCCCTAAGGAGTTCTACGAGCTCGACTTGTCACGACTGGTCCCTGACGGCATGGAGCAGAGCCTGAACACAGCAGCTTGTTTGCGCCGTCTCTTCCGAGCCATTTTCATGGCTGATGCGTTCAGTGAACTTCAAGCTCCTCCACTTATGGGTACCATCATCATGGCCCAGGGGCATCGTGACTGTGGAGAAGATTGGTTCCGACCTAAGCTCAGCTACCGAGTGCCCAGTCGGGGCCACAAACTGACTGTGACCCTGTCCTGTGGCAGGCTGTCCATCCCAACCACAGCCTGGGAGGATTACATCTGGTTTCAGGCACCAGTGACACTTAAAGGCTTCCACTAATGAATGAGGGTGCTTCTTAATCACAAAAACACAATGGTGAAATTATTTTTCCCTCCATGGCACCAAGTCATCAAACTCTTGCCTGGAGCTAGAGCTGCTTCCTGGTAAAGGAGGAAAATTAGATTCTGCTGGCTGTTTGCCTCCCGTCCTCAGACTTCCTGATGGGCTGATGGTGTGGCTGCAGCTATGGCTGTAATACTCATCAGCAAACAATGCCTCATTGAATCACAGGTTAATATCTCCAGAGGGTGCTGGGTCAAGTGTTTCTGTTTGGGGTTGGAAAACAAATATGGGCCCTTGGAAATGCCTGTGAAGGAGGATAGTTTTGTGTGGCCTTTCAGAATTTTTACCATGGACATGTGGTATGACTCATGAACTTAAATATAAAATTAATTAATTCATACTAAATTTTCCTGAAAATCTCTTGGCTCAGCGACTTTCCACCTTGCAACTAGAGTATCTGGCCTCTTCTGCTTCAGGACTTCCAGGATTTTATTAATAATGGTTCCCTCTCTTCATTAGTGGTAGGCTAATCTAGAAAGTTAGATAACTTGGCTAAGGCCCTATAACTAGAGATAGCAGAGCTGGAACTATCGTCCTCATCAGCCGACTCCTAGCCCCATTTTCTTTCCTGGCCACATACTGGTTTTTGTGACCCTTAGATTCTGTCTGCCCAAAGCAGAGATAACCATTGGTGTTGGCAAAATTCTGATGTGAAACTTAGCTTACTAGGCCACTCAGTGGGACTACCGTGGCTTAGGGGAGCAGTTTGGCCCTGTGTTTGTAATAAACCTTCAGTGAATGTGTTGAAAGAATGGTAAGAGTAGAAGAGCTCCCTGGATGGGAACAAAGAGCAGGAGCTAGAGCTTTGTTAGTCAACAAATGGTCAGCTTTAGCCTTGAATGCCACAGGTGCTGCTGGTGGTCAGGCAGGAGAAGCTGCAGCATGTCCTACTTCATTAAGACAGCCATTGATTAAACACATGCCATGTGCCAAGAGTGGGACTCTAGCCTCTTTGAACTCTTCTGGGGTCTAAATGGTCCTGGTGAACCTGGTCCATTCTGCCCCCTCAGATCTGAAAAGCAAATGCAGGGGAATGGGGCTCTAAGAAACTGGATGAGAGCTGAGAAAAGTAAACCATGGGGGCATTTGTAAGGCCTGACTGGGCTATGGGCAGAGAACCCCCAGGACTGCCCTGTGGGATTGGCTCCCTGAGGCTAAATGTCCTGCTTAGAGTTCTGCCTAGCCTGTCTCCACTGCAGTTGGTCTGGTGGCTGTTGATAGTACTGCTGGCAGTATTGTCCTTAAGCAAACCCTGTCCTCCTGCCTGTGGCTGTTCCTCCTCAGCTATCCTGATCCTTGTTTTTATCCTTTCTGGCTTCATGCTGTCCTGGCCACCAACTATGGAAGCTCATTGTCTCTAGGGAAGGAGAGCACTTGCATATTTCCTGGATGCAAGCTGAAGACAGAATCCTCACCCTGCTGGTGTTGGAGATACATGGTATGCAGATTTAAATAGGGACAATAATACAGTACTGTAAGGTTATTGTTGTTAGGTGCCATTGAATGGTTCCAACTCATAGTGGAATAAGTCCAAGTGCTTAGTGACCCTATGTAAAACAGAATGAAACATTGCCTGGTCCTGTGCCTTGATCACGTTTGCTGCTATCTTGGAGCCTACTGTTGCACAGCCACTGTATCAATCCATCTGATTCAGGGTCTTCCTCTTTTTCATTGACCCTCTACTTTACCAAGCATGGTTGTCTTTTTCCAGGGACTGGTCCCTTCTGATAATATATCCAAAGCACATGAGGCAGTCACGCCATCCTCGTTTGTCAGGAGTGTTCTAGCTGTACTTCTTCCAAGACACATTTGGTCATCCTTCTGGCAGTTCAATATTCTTTGCCAACAGCATAATTCAAATGCATCGATCCTTTGGTCTTTCTTACTGTCTGGCTTTTGCATGCATATGAAGTGATTGAAACTACCATGGCTTGAGTCGGGCATGCCTTTGTCCTCAAAGTGGTATCTTTGCTTTTTAACACTTTAAAGAGATCTTTTGGAGTAGATTTGCCCAATGTAATATGGCATTTGATTTCTTGACTGCATGGTCATTGATTGTGGATTAAAGTAAAATGAAACCCTTGACAGCTTCAGTATTTTCTGTTTATCATGATGCTGCTCATTGGTCCTGTTGTGATGATTTTTGTTAGGATTTGGTAAGATAATGTATGATAAAGTGCTTAATGTTTATACTTTATGCTATGTTTTAAGCAAAGACTTTGCATACATTATCAGTGTTAAGTATTATATACCTATTTCATAGAAGAGGCTTGCATAAGGGATGAAACCTGGATTTAAACCTAGTGCATTTGGCTCCAGAGGCTGAGAGCTTCACACTGCTTCACATCCTGTGTGGTTTTATTCTGAAATCATTAAGCTTGACCTGCCTTGCCAACGGTGGTGGCATTGGGAAACTCTAGGGCTCTCCTCTCAGGCTTCGGATTCTGGTTGCTAACATGGAACCTGCCACTGTTAGATATTGAGTAAATATTTAATGATGAAAACAAAAAGCTTGGATTCTTTTCTATGCTATGACCACTAGAAGCATATGCCATGAGACAGAATTTTGGCTGTTTTCCTTTCTGGTGCCATTACCTCACAGAAGAGGGCCAGGGCCTTATCTCCCACTCAAGGAAAGGACAGGCTGAGGGGTGTGACTAAAAGGTCTAGGGAGTTTTGAAACCAGAGGGTTATAAATTGTTTTGAGAGAAGACATTAAGCCAAGTCAGCTCCCTCAAATACTTATTCTTAAAGCTGTCATGAATAATGCCTAGACAGTCAAAACAAAGTAATTATCTAAGCAATTTAGACATTTCTCCATTGGCTTGGCATTGGGCCCCAGCTCATTTTGATTTCATGAGTCCTCTCCAAAGGAATCCAGAGATGGAACGATCATTGAATAATAACAATAAAGCCCATCTCTGACAACAAGCTTGCTGAAGAACCTGCTTCTCTGCACTTGGCTGGGGACTCCTGAGGTGGCTGTGAAGAGGCAATCTCTGGCCCAGCTGCAGGGGTTGTGGCTTTTCATCTATTGCTACCATGGTGAGGAAAAGGAACAGTTGTGGGGCTGAGGGAGATTAAATGTTGGTGGTAGCTGATGGGCAAGCTTACAGATACACCCTTTTTGTACTTCCTCCTCCTCCAAGCCCTCCTCTCCCGAAGTGTGGCCCTATACCCTGCTCCACTGCCTAGGTCTCCATTTACCACTTCATTGGAATCGTCCAAGGCAAGGGGTAGATAGACATCTGGTGAAAACTTAAGGGTATGCCACGGATGTACCCCATTTTGTAAGATCTGGCTTTGGAGGGAGATTGTCTTAGACTTTTAGAGACACAATTTATCTTCACCATATAATTCGGAAGCCAAGAAGTGATGACTGAGGTAAAATGATACAGTTAGGTGTCAGAGAGGCTTTTATTGTTTTTCTTCCTAAGGCCCCCTGCACATACAGTGGAATCAATGGCCAAAGTATCCATGGGATTGCATTATGTTGGGACCTCCGACTCTATACTGTAACTCCACCCACTGTCATCGAGTGGGACCCGACTCATAGCGACCCCTCCTTGGGTTTCCGAATCACTACGGAAGTAGACTGCCCAGTCTTCCTTCCACGGAGCAGCTGGTGGGTTTGAAACGCCAGGCTTCCGGTTAGCAGTCAAATACCTTAGGCATTAGGGCCACCAGAGCTCCTGCAAGCAACTTGCATTAAAGGAAACAGCGCAGTGGCCCTGACAACTGAAGACACCCGGTCCCAATCTCTGAAAACGAAGTGAGATAGCTAATATATTACCAAACTTTACGCCTGGTCTCCACAGGCAGAAGGGCGTTAGGGCAGGGCCGGGCAGTAGACGGTCACGTGGCGTAGGCTCGTGACTTCCGGTAAGAGGACCTGGCGGAGCTTTGGGTCTCCATGGAGACCGCTTCTCCTAGCAACCGGGCGGGCGTTGAACAGAGACACTGGCCTGATGGACGCAGACAGCCTCCTGCTGTCGCTGGAGCTGGCGTCTGGCAGTGGACAGGGCCTCAGCCCCGACCGTCGAGCTTCCCTGCTCACTTCCCTCACTCTGGTTAAGCGCGATTACCGCTATGATCGGGTCCTCTTCTGGGGTCGCATCCTCGGCCTCGTTGCCGATTACTACATCGCGCAGGGCTTAAGTGAGGATCAGCTCGCACCGCGCAAGACCCTCTACAGGTGGAAGCGGTACCTGGGGCCGGCCGAGGCCTCGCGAGGACAGAAAAGGGGGCACTAGTGCGGGGTCTGAAGGAATTGAGAGAGCGAGGCCGAGGGGTTGGGCCGACGAGTGCAAGGAAGCGGGTGGGCAGGGTCTGAGTGGGGTGGAATAGGGAGGGGCCTGAGGGGCGGTTCCTGGAAACTCAAGGGTAGTGGAAAATCGAAGATTAAGGAGCTGAAACTGGGAGACCCGAAACCTGAACTGGAGCTGAAGGGGCGGGGGGAGAGGAGGGGCGGGGTCCTGAGAGGACTGGTTCCAGGCTCCAGGAGACCAGGCCAAGCTTAGATGTTGTTGTTATGTGCCCTGTCGGTGCGACTCATAGCGACCCCTCCTTGGGTTTCCGAGGCAGTATCACTATGGAAGTAGATTGCCCAACCTTCCTTCCGAGGACTGGCTGGTGGATTTGAACCGCCAGCCTTCTGGTTAGCAGTCAAGTGCCTTAGGCACTACGCTACCAGAGCTCCCCACGCTTAGATAGAATTGGGTTTTCGGTAGAGGTAGGGCCAAGAACGCAGGCGGAGCAAAGTGAAGGTTCTTGGAGAGTGAAAGCCTAGAGTGGAAGTCAGGTGAGTGCCAGCTGTTGGACCTGCCATTCCGAGGGGCTCAGTTTAGAGAAGGATAGGAAACCCTGGGAGGTGAGGGGATGCTGTTTGGAAACGGATCCAGAGGAATCATAAGTGGAGGTATCCGCTCTGCTGGCAG